AGGAGTAGAAGATGAGTAGATGGTGTCAGGAGCTTAAGAATCCTTGTTGAAATTCAGGCCAATAATACTAGTAGGTTGTTCTTTTCCACTTGTGCAGTGTCTTCCACAGCCAAGTGTGCTGCTTGTGGAAACAGAGTCCACTTTTAGCCACATTTCAGTGTAATTAATATAAGTGCCAGTAAGTGCAGTTGCTTTTTTATGTTCTCCTTCCACTGTATTATGGATTGATCTGTTTAATTTATAGGGACCATAAAGCAAATATGATACTTTGATTTTATTTAGGAATATGTGGCTTCGTTTTATATATGAGCACCATGGGTAGAAGTTTCTCAGCGTAGTACAACAGCATTCTTAAGGAGCTGTACTTATAGCAGACCAAGATTAAAGTTATTTCTGTATTCTATTAATGTAATTACCCTGGGAGAGTTACTGTAGGGTATGGCCAGTTAAGTCATCTCTTGGCATTCTGTCAGCTTAAGCAGTACTGCAACACTTGGCTTATAAACTGTATGTTTTGAGGTGTTTCTGATTTGTCCCGTTAAAGTTTGGTTGAAGATGATATGTAGATTTGAGGCCAGTTTCAGCCTTCTAAGATGTAGCTCTTTGATAAAAGATAAAGTGATGAACCTTATTTTAGTTCAGCTTTTAATAGAAAAACAGACTAGAAATGTGGAGACCTTTTCTGGTTTGATGAGTCCTGTGCTCTGAAATAAACCCTGTTCCGTTACTAGGAGCAAGAGAGAAGTGGGTAGGATACCTGAATCCAACTTCTAAGACACTTTTAGCAGATGTAGTTAAAAGTGCACATATAATAACCTTATCTAGGTGAAATCCAGAATGTTTTTCATGTATCTTGAACAGAAACAATCTTATTAATATGCAAAACCATGCTATCCTCCCCTTGAGAGCCCTTCTAGTCTCCTTTGCGAAACCTGGCAGTCAATCTAGTGCTCCATTCTGTGACTAAGACTTGGACTTTATTTTTGCTCAAAGGTCTCAACTTATTGTTAGCAATTTGAAGTTATTTGCAAACACTTCTGAATTAATGAAATTAGATGTTTTTGTTCTTTATGTTGAGCCTTTTGATATGCACATAGCTTTATTCTTTATTTCTTGCCATGTAGAGTTGTAGAGAGTCTACTAAAAGATGATTTCCCATTTATTAAATTTTCAGATTTTCATCCCTAAAGCCCAGTACGGCACTAAGTACAATCTTACACTACCAAGAAAACTATTTTGGTGTACCATACTTTCAAATGCATTTTAAGATCTCAGCTCTGCGGCAGTGATGTCAGGTGGCTCAGAACTATTACTACCAGTCTGGGTAAATTGGGGGTAAAAACATTTCTGGATAACCTTGATAAGTGGTAAAACTTAAGGTAAACCTTAGAGTTAACTAGTCATAAATTTATTATACATAATTTCCATAATTCAGAGGGCAGAATAAATTGTAGCAGGTGAAATCATGATGTGAGGACATGAAAAGTTTAATTGCTAAACCATATTAATTTAAAAAGAAATGCTGAAATGTCTGCATTTAGTGCATGCAGTTAGTTGCTCTAGAAGTGGATTGTGCTCAGGGTACCCAGTGCTGTTTCTAGGCTTTGCAGGAACAGTCAAGTGTTTGCAAGCTGCAAATAGCAGGGCCACAGATAAGATGTGTGAGAGGTGGTAAATGATGAAATATTTTTTAATATTTTTTTTTTTTTCTTTTTGAACTTAACTCATCCATTGCATCTGAGAGGGGCTCAGTTAACATTTTTGCTCCATCTTGCTTAATAAAGCTATGACCTATGCTTAATCTCTTTCCTACTCTTGCTGCCTGTCAAAGAGCTTGGTGTTGGGCTAGTGCCATTATGAACAGTTGGAAAGCTAGTGCTGGACTCTGTGGGTTTCCTTAAGGAATTGATCATCTTTTGAGTGGTTCTGCTTCCTGATTTAGGAGCTGCTGAATGATCTAAGTGAAATTTGTGGGGCTGAAAAATCCCTGGTTTGAACTCAGTCTGAATCAATCTAAGTCATTTGACATACCAAATCTGTGGCTATTGATTCCTTTCTATTCCTCCATTAAGCCTATGGGTAGGCTGCCTGTCCTACAAAGCGTTTTAGTTACCTTTATTTTCCTGACACAGCTTGTCACCACTTTCTTTTTCATATGGTATTGTGCTTCATTTTTGGTAATTCATATCAGGTTTGATTACACATTGTTTACCTTCAGCCTTGGTAAGAGTTATTTTTGGATGGCACTTGAGATTGAAGTTGGAGGATGTGGAAGACCAAGTCCTTCTTGCTTTATTGGTTATCTTGGTTGCTGAAATTTTATTTCCAATTTCTGAGTTTGTGTCCAGTGTAAGAGAGAATGAAGTTCATGCTTGTGCCCTATATTAGCATATGCATTTAAAGCAGAGCTTTTGTAATTTTCAAGTAAGTCTGAGGTGTAATCTTTATTGTAAAGATTGAGTAATTTATATATCAATCAAAAAAGAAGAATATTAAGACTCGGGAGTTTAATTTACACCACAGGATTAGGAAAAAATGGCTGAGGTTTACTTAGCAAATATCACAGTGAATGTATAGATCCGATGACAAGAAGGGCTTATTATCTGTGCTTGCAAGTAGCCAATAGATAAAAGGCACTCCATCTTTTTGCCATGACAACACTGCTTTTGCTTGCCAGACTGTTCCATTCTACACAGGAGGGGATATCTAATTAAAGGGAGAAAATTGAATTTGGAAAAGTCTTAGTATGCCATCTTGTCTCTTCCCTTGCTAAATGCAGGATTAGTCATGATTGCATGTCATGGTTATGCCTCATATAAATGGAAGAATTGCTCTTTATTTCTCCAAGAGATCACTTGATTATTCTAAGAATACTATAGTAGCATAAGGTGACCCAGGTCGTCTGCAACACAGTTTCAGTCAGATAGATATACACTGATTATTTAGATGTACCTATCTTAATAAAATTTTAAGTAAAGGAACAGTGGATTTAGCCTGTTTCTTTTTGTAATTTTTTACTGTTTTTCTTTTTTAGCTGTTAGAATCTGATTTTGAGAGGCATCTTTTCTCTGAATTTTTGCTGCATGAGGAATTTGGCTGTGTGGGAAGGGGGGTGGAAAAAATGGCAAATGAGAAGCATATTCCACATGAGTGCCAGAACTCATTGCAGGATCTGAAGTTGTTTTTTCCTTAATTACATTATTTAAAGACAAATCAGTATTATGGATTTCTGTTAATAAGAGCATCACTAGAATAGAGACAGCACTGCTGCTAGGCTGTTGCAGTTGGTTGGCAGCATGATTTGCTCTAAAAGGAAAAATGTCATTATTGTGGCAGCAAGGGCTGGCAGGTTGCCACTTGGGAATGGAGGAGCCAAGACAGAAAGCTGGTTACCAGATAGTGATTTCAGTAGGACTAGGTGAAGCAGAAATAACTGGCAATGGGAGAAGCTGCATTTAGCAAGCAGGCTGAAGTGATGATTCTGTTCTGTTGTGAGGACAGAGCCAGGATGCATTGGAGAGGGCAGCAATGATTCCCTGCTTGGGCAGGGGGACTGGACTAGATGATCTTGAGAGGTCCTTCCCATCCTCAGCAACTCCTGAGGTTTGTGTGGAGGAGCCTGCAGGTGGGTTTGAGAGTGCACCTGCAAGTTACTTTGCAGCCCTCTCTTTCCTGCTCTTGTGTTCCTAAAACTGCTCTGCCCACCATCAGAATTTGCTTCCCTGGCTTTGCTGAGCTTCTCTCTCCAGCTTCTAAGCTCAGTCCTGCAGGGATGTCCTTGCTGGAGGGAGCAGTGAGAAGAAAAACACTGGCTGTAGGACCATCATTGGTTGCTCTGGTCTACCACAGCAATTCATTCTGGTGTTTTCCTTTCTTTTGCCTTCTGAAAGTGTTTAATGTCTCCTGGAATTTGTGTAGATACATAGACAAGGAGCAGCACAATGATACTTGACATTAAGAAAGCTTCTAGTCTCAGTTCTGACTTCAGCTATGTTAATGTAAATCTAGACTTTATTAGGATGCTTTTGGCTGACATCTGTTTAACTATTACATTTAACTGGTCCTAGCTGAAGAATGAGTGCAAGTGTGAGAAGACAGTGTGTTAGCATACTTAATTAAGAATTAATGTTTTAACATTGAAATTCACCCTTTGAAGTGGAGGGAGCTAGCTAGTGTGGAGTTGCAGGACCCGAGGCTGTAGCCCCATGGCATGAGTTCATCGTTAAATGTGTTGTGCTCAACAGACAGCCTCGCAGAAGGGAAATCTGCCTTATGAAAAGGTTTGTATAATATCTTTTCTGTCTTTCCTAGATACAGCAGCAGAAACGGTCATAGGTACATAGAATTAAGGTTGGAAGAGGCCTCTAAGATCAGCAAGTCCAACCGTCAACCCAACACTACCATGGCCATAGAAATACCTTGTCTCCCAGTATGTGTGTCATTCACATCCAAACCAGAGACTTTACTTTTGAGATGGCCAGGAAAGGTCCTGTACAGTAGCTTGCTGCCTGGCTTTCTTTTTATGATTCCCTCCTGTGGGGTCAACCCTGCCGACTGTGCTTCTTAGTTTCATTGCCGGATCTCATCCTGCAAATTTTCATTTCAACATGCCTTACTGCTGTGATTATTTTTACCAGTGCTGCTGGAGTTTCTTGAGTAAGCTGTAGTTGGGTGACTGGGGAAAAAAAAAAAAAACAGATTTGCTAATGTCATGAGGGTTTTGATACAGTATGTTGATTAAAATTGGAGAATATTGTTGAACCTGTGCTTAAAGTAAAACATAAAGAGAAATGTCATAGTTACTTTTAATTGCTTGTTCTCTTTGCTGTAGACTAGCCTCTCTCATACTTTAATGACTGTCAAAAGCTCTAAAGATCCTCACTGTAACATTCTGTTACATTTGTTTAGAATGCTTAATGTCTCTCAGGAGCTTCTGAAATGTAGTACTTTTATTTTGTGTTTTCCTTTGGTTTTAATTCTCAAATGATCCCTCTTTTCAGATTTCAAATTATAATCTATTTCCTGATGCATTGCTGACGCCCTGTGAACCATGTCAGAAGTACTTCCAGGTCAGATGCCCTTTCAAAGATTATGCTATGCAAATATGTGAAACTTTACTCTTCTTTTCCTTTTTCTTCTTCCCAGGCCCATATATTGCTTTCATTTTGTACTTACACATGAAAAAGAGCAAGCATTTTGTTTTAAGCAGTGTCTTTTTGAATGAACTCTCTATTCAGCTTTTAAAAAACTGTTCCTATAGACAATAGAATGCAAAAAAAGTCTTATTAGAGGTGAAGACACGTTGTCATGCACTATTTTCTGCATGCAATGGCATTTTCTCTCTCCTCCTAGCCCTGTAAGGTTTGTGACAAGATTGAAAAACATCAATACAAGTCATTCGAGTAACAGTATTATTTCTATTATTATGATGCTTAGAAAACTGGGACTGCTTTGTGTTAAACATGTAATAGTGGTGAAAATATATTAATCCATATCTGCAGGTATGTTTCTAAATGTTAGAAGTATGCAGTTGAGACAGTAATTTGTTTTTAAAAGTAAGCAAGCTGAAACATTAATGAATTGCTGTGACAGATCTCCTACCTACTTAGCTGCTGTCTTTAAGCACTGACATTTTAATAATATTAATCCCAGTAATGATAATGTTCTAATTGTTCTTAGTTTTTCACCAGAGACTAGTATTTTTTTAATTACCATAACCCTGTTTTGACTCGTAACTTACCGCTGTTCCCTGCTTTAGCTGAGATCAGCTCGGTGCTCCCTGGTCTGCTTGTCCACGTGTTTGCTTTCAGCAGAAGGCAGAAGAGCTGGGAACAGGGTGCCCTGTGCCAGTGGCATTGTCCTGGCTGGTGGGGCCAGGGCCTGCCTGCAGCAGGGTGCCTGGGTGCGGGAGCCCTGGCACGGGAGTCTGGGTTAGCTGGGTGTTGGTTTGGGGGGAGGGAGGGAGGACAGGGCTGGTGGGAGAGGCAAAAGCAAAGGTACGGGAAGTCAGCGATTGGAATTTTGCCTTGAAGTAAGGGGCACGGGAAGAAGTTGCATTTCCTTGGAGCTTTTAATGAGAAAGTTGGGATATTTCCCAGTTCCTCTGGGAAAAGCGATGTGTTTCAAGCACCACTGTGTCCTGTATGAAGGAGGAGCCATGGGTGATTGCTCTTCATTGTGCACCACTACACAGTCTGGGGTTTTTTCCTCATGCGTTTAAGCATTTCCTTGTGTTCAAAAGTTTTCCAGCACTTTAATTAGTCTTGGTCTGGTAGCAACATCTGCCCTTGAGATTCAAGACCTGCCCCTTCCCATCTGTATTTCTTATTCTCTTTTTGCCTCATTTATTGCTTTCCTTTTTGCCACTTTTCTGTGTGTTTCTGAGGGCAGAGGGACGGCGGTTTCAGGTATCCCCAACTTGCACTACTGTTTGTGTGTTCATTGATCATTTGGTCGTGATTATTTAATCAACGGATCATTTGAGAGGAGATCAGAAGGGAAGATAGTGTATAGTGAAAGGTTCATTTTGACATTTTTCTGCTTCTGATCATACACCAACCCAACTTAGCACCCAACCTACAAACACTGCTTGAGTTACAAAGACTTGTGGAGGCTTTGACTCAGTCGTTGATCGGTGTGCTAATGTTCATCATAAATCCATGGGGGAGCTTAATCAAGCAGATTAGTGAAACATAATACATTTTGTTTCAACATTTCTATGTGCTTCTTAAACTATTTTTGATAAGTGAAATGCTAACAGTAGGAGACCAGCTAAATATAATCTGACGGGCAGACAGTTAAGCTTTATTTAGGAAGATTACTTTTTAAGAATTTTTTTCAGTGGTAAAAATAATGGCAAACGTTGCAAGAAGCAGATCAATTTTAACACAGAACAAGAATAAATTTCAGTCTTGTTCTAGATTGTGGCAATTCTATGTATTGATGGAAAAAGTGCATGTTTGTTTTAGCTTGCAGAAGCATAAAGTAAAATATTATCTAGTGAAATCCATAGATACTGTGCAATGCTGTAAGTCCTAAAGGTCAGGCAGTGAGTGAAAATTATTCTTCCAGGTTTTCAGACTTTTAACTGATTGATTCAGCAAAAAATATAAAACAGCCAGTTCATAAACACAAGCCATTTCATCGTTTTAGATTAAAACACTCACTTTGGCACCATTGTATAGGATCAGATATGACCTTGCTCACGTTAGACTTGCTTGGTTTTAGGCAAGATACAGAAAGCAACATTTGTTGATGTGTTTATGTGAGATGTACATTTTTGAAGTTCCTTTAAATTATGTGATGGTCGTGCTTTAGAAGTCTTTTGTGGCTAAAGCTGAAATTGTCTATAGGATGTTTGTCAACTTTTACCTAAGCTGATGGTATTTTGCACAGCGTGTGTGGGGTGATGGGTCGTCTGAAGAATTTGCGGTTGATCTAGACTGACTGACTGGGGCTTGAGGATATGACACACATGAAAATTTGTCAAATTTAGTTTAAATTCCATTTTGAACAAGTTTTAGAAGTTCTAGGTGGGTGATTCAGAGAACAGAGTATACTTGGTCTGCTTAGTTTTAAATGAGCTTGAGTGATAGTTGGAAGTGTGAAGCTTAGCAGCACATTAGAGATGAGGCAACACTGTCAAATGTGTGTGCGTTTGGGTAACATTGGGAAGTGGTCCTTTTCACTCTGTTTATATGTTTTTTTTAAACCCATCTATTTAATCTCTTGTAAATTTGTACAGCAGTCAGTTCCATCATATATCAAATACACAAGGATGCAGCAGAACTAAGCTGGAATGATCTGTCATCGGCTAGCTCAAATTACAGCTTTTCATTCCTGGATAAGCCCCAGACATGTTTTTATGTGCAATAGAAGCAGTCAGTGGTATCTGAGAATTCAGAATAACAGAAAGGGTGTTTCATGCTGTGGCAGATTGGAGTGATTTATTAATTGGCCTCTAATTTGGCTACCAGGTGTCAAACAACAGCGACTACTACAGTATGTAAATTGAGGTGTTCATGGAGTATTTGTGCAGATTAGTGGGAGCCATAAATAAACGGTACAGGAACAAATTATAGGCTTCTTAAAAGATGCATTTAAAAAATAATTTTTCATAGTCTAAAAATTGTTCCCTCAATAAACTTCGTATTTTTTCAAAATGTGCGGCTGGCTAACAAAAATCAGAAAATTGTCTACAAGTAAACCAAGGAATGGCTTTATGTAACGGTCGAGTATGCGTACTCTGCCCTGGGATATATGTTTTTATCCTTGAGTTTGAACTTTGTGAGCTGTAGAAATGGTGAGCCATCTTCATCTCTGGAGCATCCCTTTTTTAAAGGTTGATTGAATTAGAACAGGATATTTTGTCAAGGGGTTCTCCCCTCCCTTCCCAATCAAATTCACCTTTGTGTAATAATCTGCTTCCTGTATTCCCTACCTCTATTTCCCCCCTCAAAATAACAGGGGGTGAGGGGAGTGATATGCAGGGAAAGGGGAGAGAAAGAGAGGCAAAGAGCAGAGGAAAGGTGTAAAGAGGCAACAGCTTCTTAACTGGCCAGTTGGGTTTTAAATTAACAATACTTGAGTGCTACACTAGATGAAAAAGGAGCAGCATCTGCCTGCAGTCTGCTTAGATATTTCTCCTATTTTTTGTTCCTTGTGCTGAGCGCTTGAGGAGTTCTTCCTCTCCTCATCAGGGGCAGAAGTGAAATGCTAAAATGAAATTATGGGTTAGGATGACTTCTGGACTTCAAAACATTTGCAAAGGAGAGGTACTCTCCTGTCTCCAAGTCTGCCTGCAACAGAATCAGACATGAAAAAACTGCCCTAAAACTGCCTTGTACAAGGTCAGACTTCCTGCTTTTTGTCAGCTTGACGATCTCTCTCTAAATTTTCTGCCCGTGTGTTTTTCTTATTTAATAAGCTAAGCTTTTGTCTGTTTTCTTCACCCGCTTAGGCTGTGGTAAAACAGTTATGTCAAACACCACACCCCTTCACCAGAAGCCCTAGCAGAAAGGTGCGTGCAAGGACCGTGTGTGACAAGTGTCTCTGTTGCCTTTGCAGTGGACTCCGGCGTGGAGGCGCTGGCGGTGTTTATGGCCAGCGGCAGCACCACGGACGTTGTGAACCGCAACAGCCCCGCCACCCCCCCCAACACCCTGAACCTGCGCTCCTCCCACAACGAGCTCCTCAATGCAGAGATCAGGCACACAGAGGCCAAGAACAGCACTCCTCCAAAATGCAGGAAAAAATACGCCCTGACTAACATTCAGACAGCCATGGGTCTTTCTGATCCGGCAGCGCAGCCCCTTCTGGGCAACGGCTCTGCAAATATAAAGCTGGTGAAGAATGGAGAAAACCAGCTCAGGAAAGCTGCAGAGCAAGGACAGCAGGATCCCAACAAAAACCTCACTACCACTGCGGGCATAAACGTAACTTCTGAGAAGTTTGAAGGCAAAGAGCCGATCCCGCAGGATTCCTCTGGCTGTGAAATATTGCCCTCGCAGCCAAGGAGGACCAAGAGCTTCCTGAATTACTATGCGGATCTAGAGACGTCTGCCAGAGAGCTGGAGCAGAGTTTTGTTGCGATGGAAGACAAATCTGCACACAGCAACGGCCAGGCTTCTACTGTTGTTGTCAATGGGGAGGTCCTGCCCCGGAAACAGAACAAGCTGTCCAGCCCAGAGGATGGCCAAGTCGCTACGGTGTCGTCAAGTCCCGAGACTAAGAAAGACCACCCAAAAACTGGGGCCAAAACAGATTGCGCCCTCCATAGGATTCAGAACCTGGCCCCGAGCGATGAGGACTCCAGCTGGACTACGCTGTCCCAGGACAGTGCCTCACCAAGCTCACCTGATGAAACGGGTACGTAAGTAAATACTGCTCATGGGCACTGCTTTTAGAAATATGTTTTTTAACTCCTCAGCTGGTGGCTGGAAGGAGGGTGGTGGCATGGTGGTACTTTTAGTGGGGAAGTGAATTGCATTGAAACACAAGCAGTGGGCTTGCACGCAGCTTCTTGTCCACTTGGGAATGCTTGGCAGCCTCCCACTTGATCATGGCAGCTTTGCTGCTGCTTTAGGGAATTGTATAAATAATTGCTCTTCAGTAATCAGTGGGTGGATGTTGTGAGAAGTACCTGGTGGTCTGGAGATGCTGAAGTATTGATAACTGCCTACACACAACAAACAAACTTTCTGAGCAATGATTTTTAGGTTCGGCAAAGATTTTTGCATTTCTAATTTAAATCTTTGTGAATGTCCCTCCTGTAATTTGATGATATTCTTTTATTAAAATGTCTGCCCGAACCTTGGCTCATTTAATATCAGTTTTGTTTTCTTTACTTTTATGGAACAGCAGTTCCATACAGTTAATCAGAAGCTGAAACCATGACATTTCATGTTTTGGAAGCCTGGGCTCATGGATTATTTGAACAGTAATAATGACTTCTTCACTGGCCCTGTTGTGATTTACAACGTTATTTCTGCATTATTTTAAAAACTCCACAGATCTTATTTACTCTATTATCTCTAAGCCAGTATATAAAGGCATAGCTTTGCCAAAATGAGAGGAGGTAATCAGATTCTTGAGGGTGACGTGGGACTAAAGAAGTTCATCATACATTGTTTCTATTTTAATTGATTTCAGTATTACAGCACAGAGGGTATATACTCTTTGGAGACCACCATGGTCCAAATCCACAGCTGCATTATCGCACCCTAGAGTATTGAGAGATCTGGCTGATGTTGTCACTCTACCCCTCTCCCATCATTTTTGCTAAATCTGGCAGATGGGGAGCCTGAGGACTGAAGGAAAGACAGTGTCACTCCAGTCTTCAAAAATGGCAGGAAGGAGGATCCAGGAAACTATAGGCCAGTCAGCCTCACCTCCATCCCGGGAGAAATCATGGAGTGGCTCATTCTGGAGGTCATCTCTGAGCACGTGGAGGAGAAGGTTATCAGGACTGGTCAGCATGGATTTACCCAGGGGAAATCATGCTTGACTAATCTGGTAGCATTCTACAATGTGGTGACTGAATGGGTAGATGCAGGGAGACCAGCTGATGTAGTCTACCTTGACCTTAGCACAGTGTTTGATACAGTTCCCTGTAACATCGCCCTAAGCAAGCTCTGGAAATATGAGCTAGAGGAACAGGCAGTGAGGTGGGTCAAGAACTGGCTGCACAATAGGTGCACAATGGGTGGTGATCAATGTGCCAAGTCCAGCTGGAGACCTGCAACTAGTGGAGTCCCTGAGGGATCAGTGCTGGGTCCAGTCATGTTCAACATCTTCATTAACGACCTGGATGATGGTATAGAGTGTCTTCTCAGCAAGTTTGCTGATGACACAAAACTGGGAGGTTTGGCTGACACACCAGAAGGCTGTGCAACCATTCAGTGAGATTTGGACAGACTGGAGAGCTGGGCCAAGAGGAACCTAATGAGGTTCAACAAGAATAAATGCAGAGTCCTTCACCTGGGCAGGAGTAATAAAATGCACCAGTACAGGTTAGGAGGTGATCTGCTAGAGAGCAGCTCTGTGGAGAGGGACCTTGGAGTCCTGGTGGACAACAAGTTGTCCATGGGACAGCAGTGTGCCCTTGTGGCCAGGAAGGCCAATGGTCTCCTGAGGTGCATTAAGAAAAGTGTGTCCAGCAGAACAAGGGAGGTCCTGCTCCCCCTCTACTTTGCCCTGGTGAGACCTCACTTGGAGTATTGTGTCCAGTTCTGGGCTCCCCATTTCAAGAGGGACAGAGATCTACTGGAGAGTGTCCAGCGACGGGGTACAAGGATGATTGGGAGACTGGAACGGCTGCTGTATGAGGAGAGGCTGAGAGACTTGAGGCCTTTTAGTCTGGAGAAGACTTAGGGGAATCTAATTAATGTGTATAAATATATGAGGGCTG